TAATTGCGATTTATTAGAAGTCGCTTAGATGTCTTTGAGTTGGTGGTCTACCATATTATGCATATTTCATGTTTAGCGCGAATTAAAGCCATCGGTAGATATTTAACATTTGTGTCTTTATGTATATAGGTAAATCGCTAATTTTGTCATTCATCTCGTATAAATATAATGGAAATAATAAAATCGTATGCATGTTTGTTATCCAGGACCGCAATTTACGAAATTATTATACTTATAGTTTTTAATAGAATGTAGGTAGGTAGGTAGGTAGGTAGGTAGGTAGGTAGGTAGGTAGGTAGGTAGTTAGTTTGGATAAAAAAAATTGGTAATATAAAATAATATTATTATAATTAATAAAAGAAAAGATTTTAAAATAACCTAAGTACCAGCCTCTTACAATAATTATCAGCTTTCTTGGGGGAAATAACTACACGTGCAGAGATTATTTATTATTAAATAATAAATGTATTATTAATTAAACATTTTGTTAGGTATATTAAGTAGATACATTAAAAATATAAGGAATTTATTTATGTATTTTGCACTATAGACAACTTTACATTTTTTTTACTGGCTTGAAATTTCCTCGTTTTCTTTGCCGCTTCTAATTTGGACCGGTTCTTGCAATATTTGAAAATTTGAGTCGTTATTAATAAATCTAACATATACTGTCTATGTTCCACACAGTTATTATTACAATTACACTATTCTGGTAAAAGTGTTTCTATTTTTTGAGTTATAATTTTTCGCAAATTATATAAAACTTTTTTAGTGCAATATTCTTCTATGTTTTGCGTGATAGTTTGTAGCGATATTCTAGCAAATTGGCCCAATAGTGATGATGGACATTTTAGGCTGGATTGCTTGTTTAAATTATAAGTTTTATAAAAAATGAGTAACTGATGTTCATCATTCAAAATATTTTCTTTTTCTTCTAAATAATTTTGACATTCATCGCATTTAAATTATTCTACACATTTTTTTATCAAGTATCCTGCAAAATACATAGTGGAACATTCTTCTAATGTTACAGGAAGCGTCTTCTCCAATACAATATCGACTCCAGAACTTTTATTGTATTCCTCATTATCTATATCTTCATTATAAGGCTCCTCAGCACTATTAAAAACGTTTAAAGCTTTACCAGACCCCAGGAGATTTTGGTCTTCGTCCTGATTCGTTCCCGAAGTAGAGGCCTCATGAAATTATGAACGATATTTAGCTTAAGAGCTGCTTTGAAACCCCTAACAGTAGGATTTCGATTATAACTCCCTTTCTGCCTAGAGACAGAAAATTGATTTTCTAATGGATCCTAAATTAGTCTTCCTGTTACTACATATTTAAGTTGAGTTTGCGTAATAATATAGGTAAAAACTCTTTAACAGCATTTATGGTAAGAAGAAAACCATCGAATAAATGCGGTCTCGTTAATTTACCTTTGGCAGTTTGTTTAGCTACATTCTTTAAAAGTTCGTATCCTGTGTAACAGCATTAAAATCACCTCTTTATTCTCAATATAATACGATAGGTTACAAGGTTTCGAACTATATGCAGAAGAACTATGTTGTTCATTGTTTCAATAAAATAGGCTGTATTTTCAGCCGTTATGGAAACTAATTCTCCAGTTCTTGCTGCCGTTTTAATGGTTGTAGCTACAGAATGGTTAAATAACAGAGTAGCGAGCTTAAAGCGGCGTTTTCCTAGCAACGCACATTTTACGCAGCCTAGAACGTAATACGGCGGACGCAACGCAACGCAACATCTAACGCGTTGCGTAAAAATGTTTTCTTAGGATTTTCAGTTGCATCCTGATCATCGCGATGAGTGGGTTAAATAATTATAAAAAGAAATTAGCTTTGGCATTTTTAATACTGCACGATGAAATTTTGCAAGAAGAAATGACATTATAACCACGATTCATAATAGCATACAAAAAAAAACAATAAAATTACCTGATTTGTTTAACATTTTGTCCAATTCATTCTAGATTGTGTCCTTTTTCACTACATTTTTAAATTCCTTCAGTTTCATATCCCAAAGAATAGGATAACCACTAACGACTTTAATTAATTGTTCGCCCTCAGTAGTACCATTGTATTTAAATACAATGGTAGCACTAAAACGAATTTGTTGTTTTTGTGAAGTAATTTTGTTGCAAATTAGGAGCACATTCCTTTTAAAACGCAGCGTACGACTGAATAGACTACTCTCCGAGCAGTCGTCCCATTGCGTCGACCGTATTACGCGACGCAAGTCGTTTTTGCGCCTTGTAGGAAAACGACTCCATTTGTTTTTCATTATAAATGTGCGTTGCTAGGAAAACCCCGCTTTACGCTCATTTTTTCAAATGCATTTGGGAAAAGGTTTTTTAAAGTGATTTTTAATAAAGCTCTTCCAGATTTGCTACGTTGGTCCAGTTCATAAACCTATTTAACATCAGCAAATCTGATAAATTTGCCATTGAAGATAAAATAATCTTGTAAAAACTTATTTCCAACGCATTTTACTAGATCAGGCACATAAAAAATGCAAAGTAATTGTTTTCTACTATGGCAAATTTAGGGTTGTCTACAGTAATGACCAAAGATCTATAGATTTTTTGGTCAACTGTAAATAAATCACACACTATCCCTATAGGTTCCAAACCTGAGTCTCGAATATGTGTTAAACCTTTATTAATAATAGTTTCAAGGGATTAAGCATCGACACCGTTTTGGGTTAGAAAAAAACATATGGAATTTTTCATTGGAAAATACACTAAAGCTTGTCCGGCAAAAATTGGCTTTCTTTTGTTGTTCTCGAAGTCTTCAAACCCTTCAATGACATCTAATTTTTTATTATATCCGATGGTTTCCTTAATTGCCATCTCATCGAACAACAGAATACATTTTTTGTCATCGTCTCTGATTTAATTCAAATATTTTTAAATATTCGATGTCAGGGTTCATAAAATATCACGCAACTTCGTTTATTTCTTCTATTATATTATTCAGTTATTTTAAAAGCAGAAACTCATAACCTTGCAAGAATTTAAGATTTTCACTGAGAAGAATTCGCATACCTCATCCCAGTCTGTTTATAAGATCGTTGAAGTGAAAAAGAGAAAACTTGTAATATATATCTATGATACTATAAAAAGAACATTATATTACGCTGATTGATATACTACATCATGGCGACATATTGTGGTGATCGAAAACAGCGCGCGAAAATAAATTTTAATCAGCTCATGGCTAATCATCCATATTCCACACCACAATACGCCATGCGCGAACTCGTTCCATGTAAAATATCTCAAAATTGACAACAACAAATATATAATTATATCATTCAACGGCAGCATCATAAAATGCGGATCAATCAAAGGCGAAGAGTAATAAAACACAACGGTTCTGTTTACTCAGTTAATTTATAAAATATGAATTATATAAGATATTTTTGAGTTTCAACCAGTACAGACCGAAATAATTTTAAATTTCATTCTCTTGAACTTATAGCGTAAGTTACGAATAAAAGCATTCGTAAGTATTATAAAAATTGCAAAATATTATACGTTAAATAATGTAATTTAATATATTTTTTATATATTTGTATAGAATAAAAAATTAAGTCATCTTCTTTCTTTATTTATTTCAAGTTAAAAAGAAGACATCTTTCTGCAAAAAATTATCACATCATTACAAGAATCAAGAAAAATTTGTAAGGAAAAATAAGTATTTTCTCCACGTTTCTTTCACAGATAAGTCAGAAAACATGTAAATTAATATATTGTGAAACATTTGTTAAATACATCATTTAAAAGACTGATTTCTAGATTTTATTATTTTAGTAGCTTGATATTCTTGGGACAATGAATCATTTTAGATAATATATACCCATTACATAAATATAATAATTTAACCTAACTTTTTCTATTCAAACACTTTTTAAATATACTGAAATATTGCAATTCTATATTAAAAATAAAATTATCTCATGTAATAAATATTCCCACTTTGCACCATCGAGCAATACTAAATTTCAGATCTATCCTATATGTACCCCTTATTCCGTATCTGTCCAATTTTCATTACTAGGTAGACGAGGAAGACAATATCGCCTATCCCTCGGTACGAACACGGAACGTCTTGAGAAAGGATATTGTCGTCATATTTTTCAATCATTTTTGTACTCGAATTTACTTTGCTGATTTAATAATAATTATGACTTTATATTACGTCCAATTTTAAAAATTATTTTGTTAAGGAAATGATTTACTACAACTTAATAGTACCTAGTCGTTTAAAGAATAATGCATGTTTGATAATGTTAATTCTCTATTAAAAGTTGCCCTTTTTTTTTTAAAACTAATAAACTAATAAACTTTAGAATTTTTTTTGACGAATCGGGCCATTTTTTCTAAAAAGTATGCTAATCCGGGGCTAGTGCCACTTATTTTCTTTGCACATAAAAAAATTATGGTATTATCTTTAAAATTGTGTCTTCTAGCGGAGCGGAGCGGAGCAATAACTCAACAATATTACGAAAATCAGTGTTCTTTACTTTTGACATATTTTTAAATCCAATGAAAACAATACAGAGTGGAATAAAAATGGCAACTTTCATTAAGTTTATTCTTTCATTTATTTTAAACTAGCAGAAGCTTCAGCCGTCTCTAGCTTAAAGAGGCTCAATTAGACTGGCCACCTGGCGGTGGTCTCCTTTTGGTATCAAACTAATAAATGCAAATGGTGTTACTGATCGCGTACATGCGCATACAGAACCATTCCATCTCTTTGTAGTTATTCCACCTACTAACGCTCTTTCCGAAGATCTAAAATCTAAAAATACCACAATATTTAGTAATAAGGTTGGAATGCAAATTCCATACGATTTACAGGACAAGGTAGACACAATTAAAATGAAGACAAAGCAACAAGAGAGAAAACAGAAAATACAAAAACATAAAATTACAAAATAAGGAAAGAAATAAACATACTGAAAAAATAAAAACTCAAAAAGCAGAAATATATGAATATATTTATGTTTACTACAGTAAATTTATTTTATTAAACGAATTATTATTCTTCTATCTTACACCTCTTGGTTTTTGAACAATTCTGGTCACGCGACTACCAGGTCGCCCGCAAGGTATTCCTGAATACATCAAAATTATATTAAGAACGTTCAACGCATATTATTTTTCAATGTAAATTCCAAAAAATAACATATATTTTGCAATTTGTTTATTACATCTACATTTTTAATCTTATCCTCAAGCACGTTATCAAACATTTCGAATGCATCCGATGTGAATAAACAAACGCCGAAAGTGTTTTTATTACCCCCAACGGAATTTTAAATTATTTTTATAGAAATATGAAGCGCTAGTTTATATAATTATTTATTTATATAATAAAAATCGTAGGCGATTTTTAAGATTTGTTTCCGAATTTTCAAATTATTTTAATCAAGGTTTCTCCACCTTACGTTTTGTTATTATTTGCAGTTCCTGAAAATTTCACAAAATCGGACTAAAAATAAAAGCTCAGAAGGAATTTGAAGCAAATTGTTCCAATTTTTAGGATTTCATCATTGTAAAGGAGATCTGTTGGGTAAAGATTATTTTGACAATTCGATTTTGTATAACTCTAAGGGTCTGTAAGTTTGTAGCATATAAACCCACCCAAAGAATAATGTCATATCAAAGTTTATGAAGATCTAATCAATTTTTAACTTTATTTGTGTTCAGTTGAGCTCTGGTCTTTACATCTTCCCAACTATAACATTGTCATCTGCATATATGAAATCACTATTCCATTTACATGTACTTTAAAATAAAGAGTTTATATACACTAAGAACAGAATTGGTCCGAGAACTATTCCTTGAGGAACACCTATTTTTACTTCTTCTGGGTTACTTAACGCATTTATAATTTCAACCATTTGTTTTCTTTGAAATAAATGATTCTTTACCAGTTCTAACACAATACCGCTCACTCCATAATGTTCAAGAACATTTAAGAGTGTATCACGAGGTAGATAGTGTATCGAAGGCTTTTGCCACCAGTTCAAACATTGCATCACATATACTCGTGTCTTGTTTAAACCCATTTTTATTAGATAATCATACAATCTTACCTTTAAAATTTTTTCTAACATTTCCGTTGTGGTATTTAAGATTGATGGGTCTATAATTTGTAATGTGATTCTTATTTATACTTTTGCATGTTGAAAAAATTGTTGATAAAATTCAACATTTCTTTTAAAGAATTTTTTGTTTTTAAAATTTTGTCAATGCTAAAGCGAGTCGGGAATATTCTATTGGGGTACTAAAAACACTATGTCATTTTTTGGATCATTTTCCTTCGAAAAATGATAACAATTTTGTATTGCAAAAAATTTCTCGATTACTTTACTTGGTAAATATAAGTAACCTATCGTGGTATAACTAACCTTTTCCCGAATTTATAACGTTGGTCCCCACGTGATCCCCGATGCCCCCGCTCTCCTTGCTACCGGGTATCGGTTCCAATTTGTTGCAGATCGTATATGGCGACGTGTTTCTGGTGTAGGACGCTTTGGTGACGCACGCGTCCTTGTGATTAAACGAAATCGCCGGTTTTATGGTCAATTCCTTCGGTTTCATGTACTTGGTGAGCGGCGTGCGCATGTCCATCATTCTGTCCATCGCGCAACGGGTTTCTTTGGGGAATTTGACGTGCGGCGAGGTCTCCGGTTCCGGTTGTTCGTCGGACCAATCGTATTTGTTGTCTGGAAACGTTTATAGTCTAAGATCCGACCGTGTGTGATCGCTATAATACTCCTCTGTTTTTTATTCAAAATACAATTATGTATATTTATAGATAATTTATTATTGATAGAGAAATAAGGTTTTGCTGGGTTGCTTTTCAAAATCGTATTTCCATATCAATAATTACCTATAAAAATTGTATTCTGATTAATTTAAAAACAGTAAATACAGTAATCATACGACCAATAAGTCTAATGTCTTTCGTACTCAAAACTTTGGAGAAACTGCTAGCTAGATATATTATACAGGGTGTTTCCGAACTTGGCGTCTAAATTTATAGGGGTGGTAGTTCGCACAATTTGAGACCGATTCGCAGATTTCATTTTTCCAAAATATTTAAAATAAAAATAATTAAAAAATTAATTAATAATTTTAAACAGGTACGGTCCTGCACAGCGATGGGAACACCTCAACTCGCGCGCGCTACGATCGCACTAGAAAAACAATCGGCTACGTCTTTCAATACCGGCCGGGCGGAGGGAGAAATTTGAAAATCGCATCTGTTTTTGAGTTGTAAATCCCGATGAGTAACCGATCAGGCGACTATTGCGCTACGCGCTCAGGGTAGGACCCGCTTTTTGATTTTTTTTATAATGGCTCTATTTCGTTTATTATAATTTTTTTTAGAAAAATGAAATCTGCCAATCGCTCTCAAATTATGCCCCTACAAATGTGGACGCCAAGTTCGGAATCACCCTGTAGACGAGGCGTAGTTCAAAAAAAATCTACCAGAGGTCGTTAAAAAGTGAGGTACGCTTTGACCATTATAAGAGCTAGATAAAGCATTAATGTTTCGTGTTTTAACAACATGTATCCGACTTTAAGATTCGGCTATTAGATAATTGGTCAATCATTTGACAGGTTATTATACTAATGTTCACGGAGCATGACAGTTATATTATAGGTGTATATAAAAATAAAAAGTATATATATCTAAATTAAGCATATTTTTGACTATTAAAGATAAAGACAATGACTATCGTTGTTTCAGTCTATTAATCTGAGCTGTGCGTGAAAGCATTTCCAAAGATGGAACCACAATTTGGCGTGTAGTCTCTAGAGGTACAGTTTAAAGAATATAATCTAGAGGGTAAGGTGCTTTGTCGATGGAACCGATTTTCCTACTCTAAATCAAGCGTATATCGGTAAGTATATACGCTTGATTTTCAAGAAAAGTGATCATTTGAAGAATGGGTTTAAACGATTGATCCACTAAAAAAGTAATTCCTTCTATTGAAATGATAGATCGCTTAATTCGAGAATCGACAACCGAGTATGAGTATTTTAAACTAGTTAGTAACTCGACATACAATCCTTTTTTCACCTATCATATGAATCGGTAAATCAGTATCACTTTTCAAAATTCGTGTCACTCAGAGGATTACGCTTTTGAGCATTTATTATCATTGTATGTAAGAAAAGCCCTAGATGTTGGTACCTTTTACCATTGATCCTGTGACGAAGGCAACATGGTGTATTTGTGTATATAAACACTTTTAAATTTTGAATCCCATAAGACTGCAATTACTGAGTACCCTGAGTACTCGGGTATAATTTTGAGTACAATTTACTCGAGTACTGCCTAGCTCTGTTTGAGGTCTAGTTATTTTTGATCTTAGAGATGAATGATGTACTGATGTCAAATGTTAAAAGTAGAAATGGATCATAGAGTATTATAGAAAGTAGAAACGCTATTAATTAGTATGTTATAGGCTTTATAATATTTTGTAAATAAAGAAAAGATACGTACTCGTATAAAGTTATTTTTAATTTTTCAAGTGTGTATTTGTGTAAATTTAATGCTTTTGGTTCGGCTGTTAAGACATCATCGATATATTATAAATATAAACAAGAACAATGGAATGACTGATAATAATTTGTTCTTTTTTACATTTTTAATGTTCCGATAATATCTTAACAGGCGCAAGCTGCGAATCCTAATAAAATTTCCACACTTGAAAATCCTACATTTCCTTCGTTTTTCTTTATTTAACAGTTTGTTCACACTTACAATCTTTGATTTATTTTGTAAATGATTAAAGAGTAAAAATTAATGAACCTATTGAAAACAATCCTCTACTTATATACAGGGTGGCGCATCCTATACGCGTCGGTCTCTGTAGGGAAAACGACTTAAAATTTGAATTTTTTTTCTTAATAGGGATGTACAGGGCCATTAACACTACAAATTAAAAATAATTTGGATTATACAGGGTGGCCCAAAAATATGAATGTATATCAAAGTTATGTTTTTTTAAAGGGAACACCCTATTAGTTGATGGTGTCTTTAGATTCCCCGAAAAAAATAAAGTAAAGTTTCTGTAATGTTTCCTATACCTATCTCTTTTCGTTTTTGAAACATTCAAAGGATTCTTAATTTGTAAGCTTGAACAACATAACCTAATATGTCGCGGTTATTTAAAACACATCAACAATCACCTGCGATATGCGTAGCCCAGATATTAGACTATCGAATAAAATGCAAATTTTTCCATTTTAAATGGCATACCCTGTATTTAATAACATAAACTGATAGACATTTAAATTATCTTTCATTTCATATAAGATTTCCCTATACCTAAATTCACCCCTATAGCTAAATTCAACGGTTTTTTTTAGTATAAAAATATCTGTTTTTATGTTTAAATTTTTGTAAATACTCTTTCCCGTCAAAGTGACCATTAAATGTAAATGTCAAATGCGAGTTTGACATTTCTATTTAGTAAGTGAGATAATATCACGATAATATCAAATGTACGAAAAAACGAATTTGAAACATGAAAACTTATTCTAAAGCAGAGAGAATTGATATGGTGCTTGTTCTTGGTCATTTGTCATGAAAACTGTTTATTGGCTTCTAGAGTTTACGACCAAAAATACCCAGATCGAGAGAAACCTGACAGACGCGGTTTTGAAAGATTACTACATCAGTTTAAAGTTAGCGGAAACGTAGATTATAAAAAAAATATTCAGTCTCAACCTATTGTAGGAGATCATGATAATGAATTTTGGGTTATTGGCTCACTAATAGAAAACCCAAACACAAGTCATCGGGCTATTAGTAGAGACACTGGAATAAGTAGGAGAAGTATTGGACGAATAATAAAAAAACATAAATTTAATCCTTATAAGATACAGCTGCACCCACATACTTTGATATTTTCTTTTACTATACGGAGAATGGTCGCACTGCGCAGCTTTCTGAGTGCCTTTTAAAAGGAGATAGAAAACTCCGCTATTTTGAACCCTTATTACATGTTGCCTACATCTTGGCGCAATATTTTTAATAGGTGCGTTTTAATCATCCGCTTCTGCTTCGGAATTGTCAGTTTTCTTGTTTTAATCTGACAGGTTAAAACGACTAAACCGAAAATTCCGGAAGCAGAAGCGAATGATTAAAACGCACCTGATATTTTGCTTGCTGCTGTCAGTGTCAGTGAATATTATTATTGAAGTTACAGTTTATTGCTAAAGGCTGTATGTCACGATACTAAATTAAGTACTAAATTTAGAACTAAATTAATTCATTTTTTAAGTACTAAAAAAATTCACGTTGCAAACAGCAAATTTAGTACTAAATTTAGTACTAAAAAAGTCATTAATTAATTAGATCTTGTTCTATTTTCTACTAAATTTAGTACTAAAAGTGCGCCGAAATGTTGCGCAGAAGTTTTTCATAGAAAAAGTTGACACTACGGTATTTTCTGTACCTTTTTATTTTACATTATCGCCTTGAATAAAGTTCGCTTGTTTGATTTTGTAGGTTTTATTGTGTTTTTTTCGTGGTTATTATGCTGTATTTGGTTGTTGTCAAGTCAACTAGTATCAAATTGATAATAAAACACCATTTACTTCACTTGTCTGTTTCACACAGAATATTTCATTTCTCTTCCAAATTCTAGTATTAATACGTCAATGCGCGTGCGCCTATAGTAAATTTAGTACTAAAAATTGGTATCGTTGCAAACGGAAAAAAATATTTTTAGTTCTAAATTTAGTACTAAATTAATAACTTAATTTAGTGCTAAATTTAGTACTTAATTTAGTATCGTGACATACAGCCTTTAAGAATCAGTTAGCTCACTCGGACCAATTGAAAGTTCCAAAATATCATCCACTCCAGGGATACAAATTCAGGATACGTAGAAGACTGCTGTTTTATTATAGGCGGTTGTCATAAATTGTATTATCCGAGTTGCACAGTGTATAAACTGAAACATTGAGATCCAAAGTATCAACGCAGAGTGAGCGATCTGATTCTTTAGCTGTAAACTGTGTCACAGGGTTCAACATGGCCGCGCCCTATGTTGAGCGTGTCTGACCTCTCTCTTGCCTCGTATAGTAATCAAATGCCGCGTTTGAGAATCCACATCGGATGCATTTTTTACATCTCGAGCGTTTTTTTATCCACATCGGACACATCTGTCCCATTACATTTACGTATACTGAATCACGTGATCAAAGATTTTTTACATCTCAGATGCATCCGATGTGGATTCTCAAACGCAGCAATAGTATGTGGCTGCACCATTTTTGTTTATGGGTTATGGACTTAGATAAAAGAAACAATAGATGATGCATTTCATTCATAAAGTATGTTTAGTTTGGTCCCAATCATCGAAAAAGAGAAAAAAGATATTTTATGCGGATCGAAAGAAGACAGACTGTAATCGAAAATATCGTCTGGCAACCCTGCTGTTACACGCAACTAAAAGTCTGTCGATACCAGTGGCGTATCTTATTAAAGATAAAATCATAACTAATTATAACAAAATAATGAAATACTAACCTATATGGTGTGCAATAAACTTTATAATGGTTTAAACTTTAAAACCGAATGGATTTTGAATAAGGGTATGAAGTTCAATGGAATGTAGGTAAAAAACTTAAAAACACTATTTTTTTCCAATAATATTACAATATTTATTACATATAAATATGTTAAACAAGTGTAAATTAAAAATTAAAAAAAACCGACTTCAAAAACGTGCATATGCCATCACCACATCTTAACCAAATTTATATGGGATCACCCCTGAGGTACCCCCTTACTAACAAAAAAAGAATCATATAAATCGGAAAACGTGGTAAAGCATTATCGCTAAACATACATAAAAAATGAAGAGTTTGAGGATTTTCTCATGGACTCAATTTTTAGATTTTGACCAAATTTATATGGGACCACCTCTGAAGTAGCCCCTTTCTAACAAAAAAAGAATCATATAAATCGGACAAGGTGGTAAAGCATTATCGCTAAACATACATCAAAAATGAAGAGTTTGAGGATTTTCTCATCGACCCAATTATTAGATTTTGACTAAATTTATATGGGACCACCCCTGAAGTAGCCCCTTTCTGACAAAAAAAGAATCATTGAAATCGGACACCGTGTTAAAGAATAATCGCTGAACATACATAAAAAAAAAATATCGCGACGAATTGATAACCTCCTCCTTTTTTGAAGTCGGTTAATAAAATAAAATAAATAAACTAAAAACAAGATAAATAAATCAAGATTTATTTTAAACAAATTTTTGATTCCAATTTTGGGATTAAAATTTGAACAGTTTTACAAATTGGTAAATGAGACATTTTTAACTCTAATAAATTTATAAAAGTTATTAAATTAATAAATTTACTATACACAAGGTGGGGATTTTAATTGGAACGCTTCTTATAGCAGATCTGGCGATAAGAATTTTGTAAAATCCGAAAACACGTAGAACTGTACAACAATAAACCTATTCATTGATAGTTTTTAACTTGTAAAACTAGGCAGTAAACTAACTTAGTTATTATCATCCATAAATAGTTTTTTCTAAATATGTGCGGCATAGATAAACTTCTGGTTTCTTACTAGGGCTGTCAAAAATACTGATACTGGAATCGGAGCTGTAACAGAGTATTCAGAACTTTTAATGTAAAGGTAAGTATACATTTTGATAAGTAATGAGGTAATCCATGAAAATAATCAAAGAAAGAGGCATGTAATATGAGTTTATAAAAAAGTTTGTCCTTGATAAGCACCTACAAAATTTAAAGAACTTACAATATACAAATTTCTGTGTAAGATAAAGTGCCAACTTAAAGGATAAACACTTAAATGCTCCGAGCATAACACTCTTTTTTGGATACCTTTATTTTCTTCAAGTCCTACAAGTGATAGCCAAATATTTCTTGTATGCCTTTCAGTTGAGAATCTAAACTTCAAGCATAAGCATATTTATTTCAGTAATATAGTGCAGACTAAAGTGTTTCTATTAATTACAATTTTTTACGAAATTAATAACGTTGAAAGATAAAAAAATAATAGTAAAACAAAAGTAGATAATACATGTGATATTACGGCAAAAATCTTTAAATCTACACCACTGAACTATGCAATACATTATCACCTAACCTTACTTACTTATGAAAAGATACTTCAGCACCCACATTTTCCAGTTTTTTTGCACAAAAGGCACTCGCTAACCATGTTGTTAGCTATGCACAAGCCGAAATTTTTCCAAAAAAGGCTAAAGATTAACAAAAACACCCAATATGCAACAATTTACTGGATCGCAACGTCGCAAACTATCGATGGATAAAATACTATACGTGACGTATAGTATGAATGAAACAAGGTTATTTTAAATGGCGGTGGTGTCACGTTTAACGCTTTTAAAATCCTTGCATTTATTTTCAGGAATAATAATGGTGTTTGGCATAGTTTATCTTAGTATTTAAAAAGTTGTTATTTAGCAAGCGTATGTATGTAAAAACGTGAAAATAGGTGCTGCTGCTAGGTCTGCTGAAAGCGGTTAAAATAGCCTAATCTACTTTGTACACATTTTATACGTTTTTTTGTATTTGTATTTATAGACTTACTATTAGAAATGTTTCGGGAAGTATTGCAACATCTCTGCCCACAATGCGTCTGAGTTGGAAACACTACACTAGGTACGAAAATGAATTGGTGGGGACGCTTGATGTGTCGCAACATATTTCGAAACTATTCTAATTAATAAAACTTGTTGCTATTAGTGAGTTATAGGTAAAAACTATTTTTAAATGTGAAAGGGATAAACTACACAGCCTGGCAACAGCGCACCAGGCAGCGCATGTCGGTTAATTTACGAAATAGCTACGCGCTACGTTTCTTTGCAATGTATGACCGGGTTTTAAATGTAAATAGAGGAGCTTTGGTTATGGATAAAGTAGAATCAGATGCGGATTTTTTTGATAATGTTCTGTTTTCAAAAGAGTGCACTTTTCATAATAATGGACTCGTTAATCGCCATAACTTTCATTATTATAGTGACGAAAATCCTCACGTCTTTTGTACTCTCGATCATCAGCATAGGTGGTCCTTGAATGTGTGGGGAGGAATATTAGGTTTACATGTTATTGGGCCTTATTTTTTTACCGGTCATCTTAATGGCAGAAAATTTCTAAAATTTTTGCGGAGAAAATTATCTGGGCTCCTTGATAATGTACCTTTAAATACTAGGCAGAAAATGTGGATGCAGTTGGATGGAGCCCCCGCACCAACTACTTCGGAAGATATGAAAGCTAGATTAAGAGCTGCTTTTCACAGACAGTAACTGGAGAAATTCTTCTCAAAGTGAAACGATCCTTTGAAAAACCAGTTCAGTTGTGTTTAGAACAAGATGGGCGCCACTTTGAACATTTTTTATGATTAATTTTTTGTTTTGTTTTCAATTTGTTTTTTACTCTTTTTCATTTGTGTGTAGTTTTCAAATAATTCAAATTTTCTTGTCTTTAAATGTTTTTTTTTTTATTAAAAAAATTATAGTTTCGGTTTACATTGAAACTATTTAACATTGAAAAGTGATAAAAATGTTTATTTCGTTCAATACGATATTTTGAGTGATATTTGCTCTATGGTTACTATGATAAAATCCGTATGTTAAAAATAAAAAACAGTTATTTATTAAAGATTCATCGAATTTAGGTATAGGGAAAATATGGAATGAAAGATAATTTAAATCTATCAGTTTATGTTATTAAATACAGGGTGTGCCATTTAAAATAGGAATATTATTGAACCCCATATGTAAGTGGAATTCAATGCACTGTATGATGTAATGGAAAAATTTGCTAATATCTTGGCTACGCATATCGCAGGTGACTGTTGATGTGTTTTAAATAACCGAGACATACTAGGTTATGTTATTCAAGCTTACAAATTAAGAATCCTTTAAATGTTTCAATAAATTCCTATTTTTGGATCACCCTTTATAATCCAAATTATTTTTAATTTCGTAGTGTTAATGGCCCTGTATATCCCTATTAAAAAAATTTTTAATTTTAAGTCGTTTTTCCTACAGAGACCGACGCGTATAGGATGCGCCACCCTGTATAATAAAAAGTTTAATACAGCATTTATGCATATACCTAGGTAATTACCTAGAACTAAATACGACTCTGCTTAGACTACCATTTAAGCTACGCCCAGTGGGGTATTTTTTCACTTAAAGCTAAAATTAACTGAATTTTTCACCATCATTATTTATTTTCATTTACAATACCTCACTTTTTAGCGACTACTCGTGGATTTTTTAGTACTATGCACAATTTGGTGCCACACCAAAATGTCATTCATCGTGGCTCAAAGACCAATAAACCAGGACCAATAATACCTCCGTTGACTCTATCATCCGACCTCTGAAACATAGAGGAATCGAAGACATGTGTGACCTCTATAGATTCTTTGCTAATAGGGAAAGTGATACATGCAACCAATATGCGAGAAATGATAGCAGCTAGGTTTGCAAGAGGATGCCCACAGGGAAGAGTACTGTCACCACTCCTGTGAAACCTGCACAGGGATTCTTATGTGCGAGCTTGGCGTCTCGACATATATGCTGTATTGAAAGATGAGAATCCCACTTCACGTCATGAATGGACTGCTTTGGACTCTCAAAATTAATGGACATATAAATCTAGGTTATGCCGATGATCTAGTGATGATGGCACAGGGTAAATACAACACTACAGTTAGAAATGTTATGCAAGAGTCTCTAAATATAGTAATAAAATGGACAGAAAATGAAAGACTAAAAATTAGTCCCAATAAATCTACCATAATTTCATTCACGCGCAAAAGAAAATTAGAGGAACTAGAACCGCTAAACCTCTGCGGTGAAAACGTCCAACTAAAGGGGGAGGTAAAGTACCTAAACCCAACATTTGGAAAGAACAACAAGAAAATCGGAGAGGTCACTGGTGATGCCAAGACGTTCCCGACCTCAGGAAAAAAATCACAGGATCGGATCTTAGACTAAAAAAATCGCAAATTTAGACCAAGTCTATGGAATATTTTCAGACGAAAGTTACGTTTTACCTGTAGACATCGTTTCGTTGTTCATTTCCATCATCCTGGGAACCTTCTTCTTCACTGTGTCCATCATTCCTAAATAATTTCTGCTCGCTACGTTATTCGTCTTTATCTTGCTGTGCGACTTCAACTTTTGCAATCTGTAACCGTTCTTCCTCGCACCAAATTTCATGTTGTCGCTCTTCTTAGCATTTTTGCCGTATCTATCGAACAATTCGTTGTTGTTACAGTTGTTCAATTTCTTCACTTGTCTGGATACGTAGTTGCTGTTCGATTTGTCCATTTGGGCTTCGTCTTCCAAAACGAAGTTGCTTTCGCAGATCGAGCAGACGTACGAGGGAGACGAGATGATCTTGTTATCAGCTAGAAGAAGAAGAAGATGATGAAAATAAAGTGTGTCGTTTTTGTTTCCACCGTACAGCTTACTTAAAAAGGGTTCCTCTGTAGATGTACGAGAGGCGCAAGTCTTTGAAATCAAACCGCGACTTTGTGCCCTAGGCATTCTGGTTTTAGATTTCTGCGATGTTCTCAGTTTGTATGACGGCTTTCTACTCGGTTTTTGACGTTGTTCCTCGCGCAATATATCTGTGGTGCTAGTAGCCTTATCCAGTCTTTTAATTGTCACCGGTTTATTTGTGCTAAATAAAAATTACCAAATAGTATACTTCTTTAGCTATTTTTGACAATTTCATGAAACCGAAATGCAAAATCATTGGATTGGCGTGGATATGTTTTACTGAAGCAAAAACCCTCTTTTAACCAGATGATGATTACAAATCACATTATATTCTGGTAAATAAATGTTACTCTTCAAAAAAATATCTATTCTGCATTTAAGAATAACCGATGAATATTTTGTCTAGCGTTGCATATAAGACGCTATTGGAAATACATCTAATATATTTAAATAATACATCAAGCCAGCCCTGAGTGCCATGCCAAAATAATCAATCAATAAATTGAAGAAAAAAAAAAAATACTCAAAATTAAGTACTACGCAATATTTTATTAGAATCAAAAGTAAAAAGTAAAAATGAAGCCGACTGTTAAATAAATTACGCAAATGCAAATAGTAAGGAAAAGAATGACACTTCAAAATCTCGTAAAACGAAAGCTAAGTTATTTTTAATCAAATCAATGAAAAATTATTGATAAGCAGAAAATACTGTATATTCTCTGACAATTTGACTTAAATGTAAAATCATGCGCTAGTTCAGTGTGATGTCATTTTGGTTCCACTGACATTTAATTCTAACCAAACTTTTAACAAAAACATCAATAAATTTGACATATACTTTTTTACTGTTTTTAGTTTATTTCTAAATATTGTTTACAGGTCATAAAAATAGTTATTTATGCAACAAGTGTGTAAAGTTACCCTTTTTTGACGAATGTGAATGTTGTCGCACGAGCTGTAGGCGACAATCACATGAGTCAAAAAAGGGACTTTACACACGAGTGGCATACAATATTTTTTCTACTACCGTACACACAATCCACTAATATTAGAAATATAAAAGTTACTTTTTTTCACTAGTGAAAAAAAGTACTTTACTTTACGCACTAGTGAAAAAAAGTAAAATTGTACACAGCAACAAAAATAAATTTATTGGAACTTTACAAATTTATAATTCTTACAGAACAAAATGACTAACAAATGAAGAAATATTTAAAAAAATAGGTTTTGAACTCTTATGAATTTTAATATTGAATGTGCAATTATTGCAATTACCAAAACTTAAGGTTTTGGCCTTTTCCAGCACAGAGTTTGAAAAATGTTGTGATATTACTTCTGTAACCCTATTTTGAGCTTCGAGTGGTATGGATGTGGCCTTTTCAAGTAAAGAGGTTGAAATATTTTGTGTAACTCTAGTTTCACTGTCGAGTGGTTCCACTAATTCTTCATTAGAGTTGTCAACGGTAAAATTGTAGCTTTTTTGCAAGTGGATGGCATACTGTCATCTATCAAAATTTTATTAGAAATTTTGTTTTTTTGTGTTATTGTGCTGTCTACGTAGCCTTCTGCAACAGCAGATGATTTCTATCCTCCATGTTTTTTGACCGTTAGAAGGTCTCCTCCAGAATTTGCCAGCATAGTGGCTGAAGACCTCCTAAAGCAGTGTCCTGTAAAAGCCGTTGGATTGGGCAAGTTTAGATACGTTGCTATAACACTTGGCATTTTACCAAAAGTATTTATCCCTACAGGCTGTTTAGAATATTTTCCATTTGCGAATTAAAAAAAAAATCTGTTACAATTTATATTTGATGGTCTTAATGAGGTATATTTTTTTATGAAAGATAAATAATCAACTGCAGAATTATTTGGATTTAAAATCGTAAAAATTCGTTCTATTCCATTTTTGGTTTCTGATACTTTGACAATATACACTGTTTGTTTATCTTCCACATCGTTAATTGTCATTTTACATAATTCTTCCCGGCGACAAGCTCCCGCAATTCCAATTATAAAAGCTACCTAAAAAATAACATATTGTAATGTTACAAATAATTTATTAAACATTAGGAAATATCTTGACGTTGCGCATGTAAAACTCCAAATAAATGCTATTGTAAAAAATATAAAAGTTTTAGGTATAATGTGCTGCCTAACAACCCCGGTGGCCTGTTAGGACAGCAACTAATTTTGTCAGACAACACACCATACGAACACACATCTCGTTGCAAAACTTTACAGAATATTTTAATTTTATACTGAGCATTCAAGCATTTACTGAGGCATTTACTTACTTTGATCATTAAAAACTTGGAATCTGGAGCTTTCAACAGAAAATTAATTAGATCTTCTCGTTCAAAAATTTTGGATTTTTTTGGTTCATAACATTTATTTTTTTGTTTGAGAAACGCTATTAACTTGTTGAATTTCGAAATATCAACGTTGTTTTTACATTTTAAGGTGCTTTTATAGAATAAATCGACCATAGGGTAGAAGCTTTGCAATTCTTCATTCATCAGAGAAATATGCTAAAATAACGTTTTCCGAATATTTTGTCACCTTATTCTTCCTACACCATTCTATAAATGCATTGTATTTTTGCTGATAAATATATGCAGATTTTTCTGGCAATAAATTTTCAGTGGCCTTTTGTGCACTGCATAAGATATCTGGGGGAGTATTATCAAATTCGCTATCGCTAGATAAATTTGAATCCATATCGATTATGACAGATATAATAAACTGCAAATAAAATTTGAATTTAAGTAAACAAACATTAAAAAGTAAAACATTTACCTCCTCAAACTTGATTGAGTTTAAAAAAATGCTAAATTGGCTTTAGAATCTAATCTTGAACTTAAGTATACTTTTGTCGTGTTCTGTTATAAGGTAGGTACTAATTAAAAGTTTAGAGATTGACAGTTCTTCTAATCCACACAGCCACGGCCAACTTACTTTTACCAAAATCGACATCCACTGTATGTTTACTTTTAATTAAATCGATGACATTTAGAGAAAATTATAATTAAAATAAACTGTTGATAATTTGTTGGACACTAAATAGATATAAGAAAAAATAATTTATTTATTTGTCTTAGAAGGAGATAGCAAAAAATGTTAATATAAAATAAACCTTATATTTTGTTATGTACAAATTTTGTCAAATTTTACTTTTTTTAACTGGTGCGTAAAGAGTTTTACTTTACGCACTAGTGAAAAAAAGTACAACTTTACACACTTCGTGGAGTGCGTAAAGTAAGTACTTTACGCACGGTAGTAGAAAAAATATTTTAAAGGTATGTAATTGGTAACTAAACGATTGTATATTTGATACATGCTATCTACTTACTTTAGGAATATATTTATAAAAGTGAAAAAAGCGATATAACTTAGGTAATCAAAACGAACAAAACGCACTCAAAAAATCTACTGTCACTTTAATTGTCAGTGGAACCATAATTACATAATCACTGAACTAGCGCATTAAGGATTGGTTCGAGGCAGTGGCGGCTTGTGGGGGTGTTCACAGTGACAGAATTTAGGTATCAGTATAGATGTATGAAAAAACTTTCAGTTTTTTAGAAAGTTTATAATATACCTTTCTAAAACACTGACAGTTTTTTTACCTATATCTAAACCGGTATCTATATTCTGCTACTGTGAACCCCCAAAATTTTGGTCACAAGCCGCCCCTGGTTCGAGGTCATTTATATTTTCATTAACGTGCAGTAGTAAATTCATGCATTGACTACCTACCTATAGTAAATGTATATATTTTCTAGAGTTTACACATATATAGTAAAATATACACGTACCTGGTTGTTTTCTTAACAGGAGTATGGTACTCTTCCATGGGTTCATCGTAATTTTGCAAAAGGTTCCTCATCATGTGATGGTTTGGTACGTTTTTTCCGAAATCGATATTTTTATTTCTATATAACGTCTGAAGTGCGAATTTGTCTGCAATTTTCAAAATTATCTACTTAACAATATATAGTGTGTGTTCACGAATAGAATACACAACAGAAGAAAAATCATTATTTTAATATTAAGAGAAACGTACCATTATTTATAGCAAAACATATATTTATAAAAAAAAGTTGTTTGTATTTTATTAAAAATTTAAAAAAACCGACTTCAAAAGCGTGCAGATGCCATCACCACATCTTTATCAAATTTATATGGGACCACCCCTAAGGTATCCCCTTACTAACAAAAAAAGAATCATATAAATCGGACAAGGTGGTAAAGCAATATCACTAAACATACATAAAAAATGAAGAGTTTGAGGATTTTCTCATGGACCCAATTATTAGATTTTGACTAAATTTATATGGGACCACCACTGAAGTAACCCCTTTCTAACAAAAAAAGAATCATTGAAATCGGACACCGTATTAAAGAATAATCGCTGAACATACATAAAAAAAAAATATTGCGACGAATTGATAACCTCCTCCTTTTTTGAAGTCGGTTAAAAATAAAACCTAAATACAAATCTTTAAATCATAAAACGTTTACTAAATCGGCTACATTGATTTTTTATTAAATGCTGCTAATAATCAGACAAACATACTTACTAGGATTATTCAGAATGGAAAAATTGGTGTTTTAGTTTAAAATAGAATTATTTAGTTACTTTCCTGGTCAAATCTAAATATATATTTTTTATTTTCATTTAGTAATAATTATAGGTTTACACACAAAAATGAGATTCGTAGAAAAAAAGTTCATTTGAAATTTGAAATTACTTTGGAGTCAATTCAAGCGCATGAATAAATTACTAAGAGTCCTGCTTAATCGAATTTTAGGTATATTTGAAAAAAAAAACCTATCAACTATACTATACAGGGTGGGCCACTTAAAAGTTCCACCCCCCCTTATCTTCGTTATTCATTGAGATATCGAGATAATTTTTTCCTTGTTTGAAAGACTAGAACAAATACTTTCTTACGATGGATTCAATTATTCTGTGACGTCATGGCTTACTTCCGGGTTTTCCGGAAATAACAGAAAATCGTAATTTATTTTTTATTTTTAAATTGAAACCCATTTTTTTTTATTGTAAATTTGGATTTCTGGGACATTTTTGTATAATAATCGTATATTGAAAATTTTCTGACAGCTTTCAAAATGGCCGCCATATTGGATAATATTTGTTCTAAACGTGTTACTATTAATTCGTTTATGAAAAAAAATATAGGAATGTATGATCTTTATAAAATCTTTGTTATCTTCAAAATTCCCATTACGACCCATTTACCGTATACCAGTGGCGTATCTAAGCATTTTTAATATTAGCAAACCGTTTAATAATTCCATCCGCTTTTATCTTCGTTGTTAATTGAGATATCGGAATGAACACTTTTTTGTTTAAAAGCTAATAACAGATACTTTCATATACTGGATCCAATTGGTCTGTGACGTCATGGCTTACTTTGGATTTTTCCGAATATAACTTAAAATCGTAATTTTCTCTTTTTGTTGAACATTTGAATTACTGGGACAATATTGTACAAGAAGCGTATATTAAAATTTTACTGTCAGCTGTTAAAATGGCCGCCATATTGGATAATATTTTTTCTAAACATGTTACTATTAATTCGTTTATGGAAAAAAATATGGGAATGTACGATCTTAAGCTTTAAAATTCCTATTAAGACCCACTTACAGTACACCAGTGGCGTATCTAAGCATTTTTATTATCAGCAAACCGTTTAATAATTCCATCAGCTTTTATCTTCGTTGTAAATTGAAATATTGGAACGAAAACTTTTTTGTTTAAAAGCTTGGAACAAATACTATCATATACTGGATTCAATTGGTCTGTGACGTGTGCTGAAAATTTTCTGTCAGCTGTCAAAATGACCGTCATATTGGATAATATATTTTTTAATATGTTACTGTTAATTCGTCTATGGAAAAAATATGGGAATGTATAACATTTTTGTGAGCTTCAAAATTCCCATTAAGACCCATTTGCATTGTACCGTTTAGGAGCGTACTGGATAACGCTCTTAAATATTAGAATAGATGTATATAAAGAGTACGTGGAAAAAATTAGTTTAGGTGCCAAGATCTTTAGGAATTTTTCGTTTATTAAAACATACAGGGTAATTCGCACGTAATTTTCTAATGCAGCAGCTTTTGGATCTCTGTTGGTATAGGAGAACGCCTTATTAAAGTTACACCTTGTTTCATAATTATTTTATTGGACATTCCTGTAGACCAGTGTTACTCAAAGTGTGGTCCTAACTCACGGTTTAATAATTTCACCCGCTTTTATATTCCTTATTAATTGAAAAATCGGAATGACAACTTTTTTGTTTGAAAGCTTGGAATAAATAATGTCCAATACTGCTTCAACTGTTCTGTCATATCATGGCTTACTTCCGCTTTTTCGAAAATAACAGTAAATGACAATTTATTTTTTATTTTTAAATGGAAACCTACTTTTTTATTGAAAATTTAAATTTCTTGAACTTATCAATGTTTATTATTGTATAGTGGGTATTGTTTTATTATATTGATTCCTTAAATCTTTCTGATGAAATTAAGCTACTTTAAAATTTAAAATAAAAATAAACATTTTTTTTTTAAATTTAAAGATCTGTTATGTGTAGTGTAAATAAATTTTTCTGCTACTGTGCGTTAAAGTACGTACATTATGCGCACTACGAAGTGCATAAAGTTTAACTTTTTTCACTAGTGCGTATAGTAAAACTTTTTACGCACTAGTGCGTCAACAAGACACAATTTTTAGTATTTTGACATGACAAATGACATTTTATTTCAAAGTTTCTTTACGCGTTAGTGCGTAAAGCAACCTTTATATTTTTAATCTTAGTGGGCAATATGTACGCTAGTAGAAATATCGTATGAAATTCATATGTAAAGGCCTTTTTGAAGGCCACTTTATACACTTATAAGCATAAATAACTATTTTTGTTATTTTATTTATCAGTAGGTAGTTGACTGATGTAGTGGTTACAAGCGCTGAAATCATATGAATTCAGTTCAATGACAGATATGCTCAAGAAATATAAATTTTCAATAAAAAAGTGGGGTTCCATTTAAAAATTAAAAATTAATTGCGATTTACTGTTATTTTCGAAAAACCGGAAATAAGCCATGACATCAATTAAATCAATTATTTGACAATATTTATTCAAAGCTTTCAAACAAAAAAATTTCATTCCGATATCTCAATTAATAAGGAAGATAAGAGCGGGTTGAATTATTAAACGGTTTCTAATAATAAAAATATTAGATACGCCACTGGTATACTGTAAATGGGCCTTAATAAGAACTGTGTAGCTCACAAAGATTTTATACATTCCCATATTTTTTCCATAAACGAATTTACAATAATATATTAAAAAAAATATTAACCATTGTGACGGTCATTTTGACAGCTGACAGAAAAATTTCAACACACACTTCTTGTCGGAAAACGTCCCAGAAATTCAAATTTTCAATTAAAAAGGGGTTTTCATTTTAAAATTAAAAATAAATTTCGATTTTCAGTTATATCCGGGAAAATCGGACGTAAACCATGACGTCATAGACCAATTGGATCCAGTAAATGAAAGTATCTGTTATAAGCTTTTAAACAAAAAAGTTTTCATTCCCATATCTTAATTAACAACGAAGATAAAAACGGATGGAATTATTAAACGGTTTGCTGATAATAAAAATGCTTAGATACGCCACTGGTATACGGTAAATGGGTCTCAATGATAATTTTGAAGCTTACAAAGATTTTATGAAGATTATACATTTTTATATTTTTTTCCATAAACGAATTAATAGTAACATGCTTAGAAACAATATTATCCAATATGGCGGCTATTTTGACAGCTGCCAGAAAATTTTTAATACACGATTATTATACAAACATGTCCCAGAAATTCAAATTTAAAATAAAAAAAGTGGGGTTCAATTTAAAAATGAAAAATAAATTGCTATTTTCTGTTATTTCCGGAAAAACCGGAAGCAAGCCATGACGTCACAGAATAATTGAATTAATCATAAGAAAGTATTTGTTCCAGTCTTTCCAACAAAAAAAATATTTCGATATCTCAATTAATAACGAAGATAAGGGGGGGGGTGGAACTTTTAAGTGGCCCACCCTGTATACTTACCACTTTCATTAGAATTGGCAGTCCGTGGTGGCTTTTTCAGTCTAGCTTCCGTTTTTTGTGCCGTTCTTCTAGGATTGTTCCTCAATCCCAAAGGTTGTCGTTTCGGAGCAGCTTTTTGAAAGCTCTCCAAAATCCTCGGCACGGGACTTGGTATATTCGAATTCGCTGGAAGATAAAATCTATTATCTATATTCACGACTGAGAAAGATTTCAACTTGAACTAAATGTCCCAATTAGGTTTTGGAACAGAAACAGAATTATTTATGGTTAATGTCCAATAGGTTTCATGGAATAATACACCATTAATACAAAGGAAAACCATAGATATTAATTGCCCCAAAGAAATCAAGATTTAATACAAAACAAAGGAAAGGTTAAAAAGGCGTGGCAAGAATGAGAATTGAAGAGGAGAGTAACGAATTAAATTGACTTACACAACAAAATACAACTAACCAGTCCTAAAGAAGTAAAACGAGAAATAAAATATAATATTAATGTAAAAATGCTCCTGGGTTCGATATGATTACAAGAGAAATACTAAAGAAATTACTACGAAGAGCATTAAGATTTCATGTTCCATTATACAGGGTGGACCGGATTTAATTTGCGTATACAGAGATCTCGTAAACTGTAAGATATACATTGTCGGTTAAATGGGGAAAAAGTTTCGTATTTTGACGGATAATACAATGGTCTATAGAATTTCCAGATCTTCTGACTGGTTCCGGAGATATTCGATAAAATCCGAAAAACCTTATTTTCATTTTTTAAGTCGTGCGTTGTTATTATAAAAGATACAAAAAAAAATTATACGAAGTTTTTGTTATAAATCTAGTTCCCTATAATCTGCCATGTCAAAATTTTTATTACGTTTCGTATTTTCAGGACCACCTTCAACTTATTTTTTTAAATACGGACCTGGATTTTTAACTGTAATTTTTTATAGCTTTTGTATAGCTAAATACAACGATATGTTATACTTTACCATTTTACTACGTTTCGTCTATGAAAATATCATCTAAAACGGGTAAATAGATTGTTTATCTATTAGTTTTGTTGTTAATAGATTTCAGTGTGAAGAGCGCTACATTACGGTTAGAAAAATGTTACTTGCAGAGGGTCAGGCCGTGCGCGATTAATAAGTTATTTTTTGACTTTTTTGAAGAGAGAACATTTTAGGGCAAAGTTAAAGATTTGCAGCAGGGATATATAGAATTAGATTTTCCAAATTATTTCTTATGACATGATTAGCGCCTTAAAATACGTAATATTGTCACCTTTTTGTATCTTGAATAATAGCAATGTTTAAAAAAAAATAATCATTTTGTTCTTATACATCCCTAGAAATACGTTTTCTTTCATCACCTACAAAAGCAGTTTTAAGTAATTTTGAAAAATAAAGTTGTAATTGCGCACGAGCTTAACTGCTGTTTTTGGCTTAAAAATTCAGGCGGAGGATTGCCCTTAAACTTTTCCAACCATCTAATTTAGTTTACTACAAAAGTCTTGTAGCAAGACTGAGACCAAGATTTAAAATCCAACATCCAAGATATAAGATCCCAAGACATATGATCCAAAACCAGGATCCAAGACCAAGAATTCAGATATGGTGCAAGATCAAAATCATATTGATCCTGGTATTTTTTAGGATAGGAATGGATTCACCTACTTTTACACTTCGCACTATTTTGAACGTTATTAATCGGAGACTTTTTCTCGGGCGGTTCCATCGAATCTTCGTCGGCTTGTATGGCGTCTAAATGATTCATGATAGTTCTAAACGACTTTTCTATGTGCTCGTACGATTTTTTGTAGTTTTTTCCTACTGTCGACATTTCTTTGCCTTTCATATCGAACGGGGGTCGATTGCTGTACCTCTGGACCACCATCCTTCGTCGCGCGTTGTTCATATTAGACTGAAAAATTATGGTCATTAAAAATATTCAATTTGTTAGCGCAAAGAAAAACAAATCTGCACCAACTTGTGCGCAAATATTTCCAAATTAACTCTAGAAATGTACTTCTACCTCTAATAAAACTCATTAAAAATCAAGGTATTTTTTGAAAACATCAAACAAGTTAGTAGAAAGAAAATTCAATGCTCAATCCAATTTACTATTATAATTTAATTTAAAGATATAAATTTTAGATATGTAATACTTACCCGAGTTATAAATATGTCATATGTATGTGCAAAATATAAATTATTAGAAATATTTCATGAATTTTTAACACGCTGTTTATTTTTTGGCATTACTGACTTTTTATATATAATTGTCATGTTTGATGAAAGTATTTTCGATTTTTTTTGTAGGTACCGATCACCGCCTAGTGGAAAAATGCAGAACTGTTGCGTTGTTTCACTGAGTTATTCGTATCACCAAAACAGCTTGAAGTGATAGACCTTTTCCGTTATTGATGATCTCTATTACTCATGCACAAATGCTACTTCATCTAAAAATTTGTTGTTGTCATGTTTACTAACCTGACTTCCAATTACACATACGCCACACATACGCACATACACATACTCGCACATAGCACATATCATTTTGTTTTTGCGTTTGATAGTACCTAATGGTAGGGGAGCCAGAGACACTTTTAGATGTTACTTGCTAAAGGCAAAATTACAAATATTTCGTTCATTCTTACCTTGTAGAACATGGAATTAGTTTGCTGCAGTATCTGCAGCGTAGGGTACTCGACGGCATCTTTAAAAAGCCTGTGTAGAATCGCAAGCTTGAAACTTTCAGATATTTACATCAAAAGTTAATAGAAAAAAGTTTGCTGCCACTTTCTTAAAAATTTGTTTGCAGGAAACGTTTTTGATTAATCATATTGTATCACAGAAAAAATGAACCTTATGTATATAAGACATATTATTATAACAATTTCATTTTTCCAACTAAAAATTTTTTCACCGCTACCAAGATGGCACTTTTTGAAGAAGTCGCAATAGAGCACTCTACCGCTGGTGCGTCTGCAGCAAAGTATTTCCATCTTTTGCAGGTTAAGAATTAATGGTAAATTTATAATTTACCCCTGTGAATTCTTCGCTTGGTTGGTTTTTGATTTCGAAGTGATTTCGGTTATGATTTCGGAAATTTCGAGAGAATTTGTAGTGATTTTGGTGATTTCGAGTGAGAATGTACCTGCATTTTGGGAGAGCAGGTTTACCCCTCGGGCCAAATTCTCCTTGAGTTGTAAGATCTCTTCAACTAGATCATCTGAAATATCCTATGAATAGACTTCCCATAATTTTAACGCTTCACTCCTTTTTTTCCAAAAGAGAGTTCGCAAAATTAAAGAGACCGTAGAAAATCTTGAACACTATTCGTATGCACATTTTTGACGATCCAATTTTTTTATTCTTAGTAACAAACAGAACTTAATCATCATCTTTCATCGAAATATCGCTTGCACTGTAGTTCTTCTTACCAATCAAAGTAGCCTCCTCTTCATAGATTGTGAAGTCCTCACAGGAAGATGAAATAAAATGAAATTAAGGATTTGTACAAATCGATGATCAATCCAATATCTACGTCTTCCTGTTGTAGTTTTTTACTAACTTATTGATGCGATTAAGAACATAAACAATCATAAGCGAAGTTTCAAATCTGATTAATCCTGCGGCCTCGGCTTTCGTAATGCTTACAGGGTGTATAAGATAAAAATTTAAATTAATTTTTTTAACATTGCTCTTAAACCGTTTCACATTTTTTCATGAAATTTTATATGACGTGTTGGAATACCATGATTAACAAAATGTAGTATAAAATTTAATTACAAATGAAACGCCACTGGAATCCCAACCATTTGGAAACTTTTTTGTCTCCTAGTATTTGTTTGTAAAAAGTTTAGTTTAGACGATACAGCCATTTGAAATGACAACTTAAAAATATTCAATGGAAATTCTACGTATGAAAAATATCAAAATCAAGTTTATTTTTAAATTACAAACTAATTTCATCAAAATAAAAACATTTAATTTAACAGGTGTTCAAAATTATATTCTCCTCCTGTATACACTTACTACATAGTTTTAACAATGAAAATCGAATTTTGATATTTTTGCATACGTATAATTTACATTAAATATGTCATTTTAAGTGGCTGTATCGTCTAAACCAAACATTTTACAAACAAATACTAAGAGACAAGAAAGTTTCCAAATAGATGTTGCATTTTAATAGCGTTCGATTTTTAATAAAATTTTATATTACAAAAAAGTTGAATAGAGAAAGGGGCGGTGACACCCTCCAAAATCCTACAAAAATAAAAAAAAATATTTTGCCTCTACTTCGATTTTGTTATTCATGGTATTCCAACACGTCATATAAAATTTCATGAAAATATATCAAACGGTTTAAGAGCAATGTTAAAAAAATTCATTTAAATTTTTATCTTATACACCCTATAACTATTTTTGGGGGCACTTTTGTATATAGGTAAGTACGGTTTAATCGTTCTATTTTTGACCCAAGAATACGTGGTATAATTTATGACATACCTTTGTGAAACACCCTGTATAATTCGTTACAAACAATACATTTAGGTAAAATTATAACAAAACATTTAAGTAAAATTGCAGTGGTATTCCTCAACACTATAAAAAGTGTGAGCTAGTAAGACCTCTGTTACTCGGGTTGTGAAAGCTTTAACATCATTTATGCGTTTTATGTTATCCGGAAATTTATTGTAAAGCTTGATTGCTGTAATTGGAGGTCCTTTACTTGCCATAACTAATTTATGTCTAGGTATAACGAGATTTTATGCATTTCTTAAATTGTACTCGCTATTAATAGAAATATCACCTCTACAAAGAAGATTCTGATGATTAGATCTTACATATAACCCACATTTTAAAATATAAACGAAAATAACAGTTAAAATTCTTAAGTCCTTAAAAAGTTGTCTGCATGAGAATTGTCTATTTTTGAAAGTAATGGTTCTTATAGCCTTTTTTTGTAACACAAGTATGCCATTTATTCTATTACAATTTCCCCAACATAATATGCAGTAATTCAAAATCGAGTGAATTTGAGCGAAATAATACATTTTCAGGATATCTACTGAAATGAAATGTCTTAGTTGCCAAAGGACATAACAGTGAGTGGCTCAAAATTTGACACATTTACTTTGAGTTATAGATGTACCGTTGTGGCGGACCAGTAAACTATAATTTAACTCTCTTGGGGAAAATAATAACATATTTGTTTTATTAACATTTAAAAATAGCCCATTGTTATCACGCAATAACTACTCATAGTTTCGACAGCCATGTTAGCTTGATCTCGTAACAAAAGAGTATCTTTACTTACAACACTAAATGATGTATCATCAGCAAATTGAGTGATAAAAAGATTAGAACTTTCTAAGTCGTTAATAAAAAGAAGAAAAAGAGTAGGAGCTATGACACTACCTTGTGGTACACCGGAACTGACTTTTCGAGAAGTTGATAGATTTTTTAATGAATTTGAATTAAATAGAACTGTTTGGGATCTGTTAGTTAAGAAAGATTTTATCCACATCAGAGCAGGACCCCTGATACCGTAGTTTATTTAAAAGTAATTCTTGATTGACTGTCTCAAAGGCTCGAGAAAGATCAAAAAATAAAGTTAGACATTTATTATTTTTATCAAAATTTTCTAGGATATGATTGAACAATGTAAGAGTTGCATCTTGAGTGGAAAGACTTTTTTGGAAACCGAATTGATAAGGATTTTAAATGCTAAACTTGTTAATATAATTTACTAGCCTGGTTTGGAATGCTTTTTCGTGGATCTTTGAAAATGCTGGTAATAATGATATACCACGGTAATTTGCAAACTATGTTTTTTCTCCTTTTTTAAATAGTGGTATTATAACTGCACTATTTAGGATCTGAGGAAATGAACCGTTTTGAAAGGACAAATTAATTAAAATAACCAAAGGTTTCACGATATATTCCAATGCATGGAACAATAAACTATATGGAATTTTTCATTAATTCCGCAAGAGTTTTTTGAGGATATTTTTGTTATAATTGTTTCTACTTCGGAATTTGTTACTAGATATAAAAACAGTGGATCTCTACATGAACTTATGTTGTGTCCTTCGTTTGAGTTTTCTATTGTTATTTTTGATAAAAGGTCTGATAATGAGCCAGAGAAAAAATCCGCAAAAGATTAAGCAATATCAGTCGGTTTTAAAATTCGTTTACCTTCATTATCTTTAAAATAGTTTGGGTAGTTATTTTTATTTGATTTGTTCCCATTTGTATTGTTATGTAGTATATTCCAGGCACCTTTTGTTTTGTTGTTTGAATAAAACATTTGAGTATCGTAATAATTTTTCTTCGCTGCCGTAATTTTTAGCCGATGATTTCTTTTAATAATATTGTATCCTTGCAAAATACCTTTACCACCAGAAGATTTGTAGAGATAAAAAAGATCTCTTGAAAGGAAACCTTCATTTACAATTTCCGTAGTAAGCCAAGGCTTTCCCTTATTTATATTAATATTTGATTTTTTTTATATGATTCTATTGGAAATGACTTTTCAAAAATATCCACAAATATATTGTAAAAGAGGCCAAACATTTTATCACATGATAAAGTATTTTCATTCACAAAACTCCAGCTTTCATTTGCTAGCAAATACTTAAAGTAAAAATACATTGGCACTCGGGGACTGCCGCGGTAAAGCTGTTGCATAGCATTTTTTATCAACTTATCCAATTATAATTATTTATGCAGTATTTTTTTTCTTTGCTATTAATTCAAGTTTTTTCTTTGATATTAATTCAAGTTACACTTTTTGAGCGTGGTGAACGATAAGAAAACAATTTTTTTTCTTCTATTGAATAAATGAGAAGTTAATATTGTTTAAAATATTTTTATTATCTTACAATACATGTAGGTTATTCAGGAATTTTTATCATTGAAACTATAGGTTTATGGTAACTGAAATAAGAAACATAAGTTTGAGACTTGATATCCTCTAAATATCAGGAAAATACCGCGTCAATGGTGGTCCCATATTTTGTTTTGAATTCTTGTGGATCATTATTCATTTTCAAATTCGATTTTTCCGAAATTGTGTCTAAAAGACTTATGAGCAGTTAGCCAGCTAGTCTACACGCATACGTCTAGTCGCACGCACACAAACACCGTGCCGAAGTCTGCCGAACTGAAACGACGTTAGACTATGCACGGCTTTCAACGCCGCACCGCTGTGCTGGTGAGAGTGGGGGGTGTTAAGTTTATTTTCGTTACGGAATTTCTTTTTCGATTTTTCGATTTTTCGATTTTTCGATTTTTTCGATTTTTCGAATGTTCGATTTTTCAATTTTTCGATTTTTCGATTTTTCGATTTTTCGATTTTTCGATTT